ATAAAATTAGAATTCTTTACACTACAACAACAGGGTGTTAGGATGCCAATGCACGGTAAAATTATGTGGTGTGTTTCCGACAAATATATTGCCCCATGCAATTAAAATAGGACACAAAAAGTATTTTACGGGCAAAGTGCTCGTTTTCCATTCGAATTCGTCTGAAGTTAAAGTACTAGACCAATAATGACTTTCGATAGAGGAATACTTTAATTCACTGGCGTTACAAATGTTAACAGCTTAAATTGTGAAAAGAAATAAAATCAATTAAAAACTGTTCAGTTCAGACGTGATATACATGCACTCTACCCCATGTCGTCGCAATGAATGTTGATGGGAATTATGAATAATATCGTATGTTTATTAATTCGCTGCACCCTTCTACATTCACATTTGGAGAAATTCTGGAGTCATTAAGTTCTTTCTAGAACTTCCTACCGAACAGCCTACCATTACAGGCCTAGGCCCTCCATAGGATAAATATCTCTTGAACCAATATATCAACAGACTTAAAATTCATAGGATAAATATCTTTTGAACCAATATATCAACAGACTTAAAAAGACACGAATATGTAAAATATGTTTGCGCTTACATCCAAGGTCATTTAAATGTCAATTTCAAAAAGTCACGATCACTAAGACACAAACAGTTTAATAATTCATTCTTCCAATATAAAGCACGTGATTGTTGGTTTTATGCTCAACTTGGAGGACTGCGTACGTTGCGGATTGTGTTGATAGCATCCTTTTTTCGTACTTCGACCACGTATGCTTAATCCTTGGCGACAAAACTCCCGACATGTTTCCTTGGTTTAATGCATAATTACATCTTCACTGGATCGTGTTTTATATGGCTCAATTACGTCTCCGGCGAATTTTTTCAGCAAATACTTTTATTGTAAGCTTGATTTTAATCAAAATGTGACAACGTTCAGAATATTTGTAACAAATCAAGGATAAGATCGAAGTAGGAGTATCATTTCAAAATTATATTCTCGCGTCTTATTTGAAAACACGGAGATTAGATACACAAAAATAATAATTTAACCATTTTTTGTTAGAGACATAAACTCCGATCTCTCATCCTGAGGGAAAGAATTAGGGTTGGACTGAGGGTTACTCTCTGAATATTTTTGGCGACGGTATTCTGGACTTCACCACGATATTTGGAAGAATGATCTTCCTTCGTCCATCCTTCGAAAACAAACTTTCAACAGAAGTCCAAAACAAAGAAAGTCCTATAGTTAGGTTATTTGGGACCAGGATGCTGAGACAGACATGGAGACCGAAAAGGGCGGATGTACAGGAGGTTGGAAAATATTACATAATCATGACAAATCTTACTCATCACCAGATATTATTAGGATGATTAAAAGGAGGAAGATATGGTAGGCATTAGGTCTATGCATGGAGGCGGCAAGAAATGTTTTGTAAATACCAGACAGATCCCTTTTCGCACTAAACCAGCGACGGAACAGTGATACAGACTGCTGTGTACGTAGTTAAATAAAAACCTACCTGTAAAATCTGAACAGCTAACCGATGCCCAGCCTCCATAGAGTTCATCACGCGGCGCTCGGCGCAAGGGCGTGTCAGGACCAGAAATTACAGTTAACAGAACGACAAATGAGACAGGTGCAATCTAAATTAAGCAAAACTTCCATACAAGATTCTGCAGAAACCTAGTTACAGTTCATACGATGAGGAAGATTAAGTAGGACCCACAAATCTTTAACATCCAACTAATTTATAATTATTATTATTATTTCAGTGTGTTTAATGTGGCCAATTAATAGACACATAGAGTGTAATGTGCTGTTTTCCTTCAGCGCTGAAGGGTAATGAGGACATTAGCTCTTCCCAGAAAACAGCTAAGCAATAAAGGCTGAGGCACACCAGGTCTTCCTAGAACGTCATGAAAACTTTTAATCTTTCACTGGTCTACTCAGAATAAAAAATGGCCATCGAGCGACATGGCGCTCCTACTGGACTAGAGTGGGTAAGCACCTTTAAGCGCTTCACTCATGTTAATGCAGATAACAGTGAACTACGCTTGCAATGCAAAGGTATTTAAGCACTTCCTTTTATGACTGTATCCTACGCATGCCATTTGCCTGTCCTTGTTCTTCGTCAGGTTTACTTCCGCTCTATACACATCCTGAACAATCTATAGTTAGTTTAGAAACAAATACGTATGTAAGATGAATTAATTTATACGGTGACAAATCTAAAATCTATCCAGGCAAGGACGGCGACGTTTGAACAGTACGAAGAGCGGATATTATTTGCTGATAGGTCAACGTATCATTAATTTATAGAGAGGCTTGCCTTTGTCTGCCGACAGACTTCGCGTCACGTTTCAGAAAGACCAACATTTCGGCTGATATCCAGTTACCGGTGCTTCATGGCATCAGAAACCGGTCAGGATGACATCATCGGGCAGTTTTTCTTTGTATTACAGACATGCAGAAGGTACAGTGCGTTTCGTAAACATAAATACGCTTACATTTATACTACAACTTCGGCGCATATGTTAATAACAAATTCCGGAAAAAAATGTTAACAACTGCATTTCATTTAAATGTCTTCATCAAAGCACAGCGACTAGCTAGGATTAAATTATCTATATCTGATTCTTAATTTAACTAGTATTTTATACATTAACTTGAAAGTTGTCCAATGAAACATTAACTTTCTCACAACCTCCACAATTATAATTTTAACACAGTGCCTACAAAAATTCATACATAAATTTGTTGGCCTGTTTCCTACCTCTAACATTCCCCGATGATGGAGGTAACAAGCATCACCTGTGAAACGTCGGTCAATTTCTACCAAACTACATAGAGCAGCATCTCAGAAGTTAGTCGCCATCTTGATCTGTTATTTCAATGAATTTTTCATTTAAAATTAAATATTCTATTTAATTTAGGCGGAATTTGCGTTTCCAAAAACAGACAAATGCAATGTTAGAAACGACGAGGTCGCCGTTGAGAACCTCTGGTCTACAACGTGGTGGAGACTTATTTTGCGAATTTATTGCAAGAAGGATGTCGCTTCGAATGGCAGGGTAAATGCCGAATTCTCCGAGACAGGATCCGCGTAGGCCTACAGAACGCATGCGTCTAAATTATAAACGTACAAAATCAATTGTCCATTTAAATCATGTCAAAACAGTGTTTGAAGCAAATTTCGTTTGCTTGTTGTAATTTTCTGGGTCTGTGGGTTACAACAGGGAGAAAATCTGTCCCCTAAATCATGTTTCGAACGCACAATCTGTCATTTACATGGATTTACCAATCTCATTTACGATCACTGAGCAAGCTTTTCTAGTATTGTTATTTGGGATCGCCACTCAAACGTCCATCAGGTTCTCGGACACCTGGACTGAGGTTTATTTGATGTTTCTTACTCTACCCACGCCAATTCTGGTGCAGTCCCCTCAAACAGACCACAACCGCCTTTCACATTCTTGACTACTCACTTTCACCGTCTACATCCACGCTATATAAACGTTTATAACGAAAAAGCGACGTTAAATAACATAATATTAACATCGTGGATCCCAGTCTATTGCAAGGGTTCACAAACGACAGATCGCGAGCCGGAAGCGACCCGCGAACAATTCAGTTCCGTCCGCGACAGTTTCAGTTGTCGATATTAGCAATGTCACCTTTAATTACCTTGCAGTTTTTCACGACGAAGTAGCATGATAGGAAAAAATAGCATAATAGATCAAAAATCTAGATTTTGATAGACACTCAGACATTCACATACATAAATATTTTAATTTAATTACTCTTTCTACAACTGGGTTATGAAAGGGCCTAGTTTGGCCCACACCAGTTTAAATTTAATGCAAGTTTTACCGCCTTCAGAGTACCAGAGTTCAGGATACAAAGACTCAATTAATTATTAAAAATGCAGTTTTTATACCAAGCCTGTGCGTGCGCTGCACAGAAAAGGGCAAGATGAGAATTCGATCCTGCGACCCCATGCGTCCAAGACCAGTACGCTACCACAAAGATAACATGCACACAATTTTAACACATCAAAGCCATTCAAATGTGCATGGGTTAAAATGTAGCAGTTTCTTTTACTCGTGCATTTGACCTTTAAGACAAAGCGCAAAGCTACACAAATAATGCCGAAGTAATATTAACACGAGAGCAGGCAGGGAAAGTGCATCGTGCACTCATCTACAAATTAAATAAAACCACAAGTGTCAGCGGATGTTCGCTAATTTACCATACGTAAGGTTTGAGCCACTAGAGAAACAATTCTGACTTTGTCATCCATTAGCAGCAGAATTCGGTTGTACTTATGCTAAGCGTCAGTGTATTGCATACAGTTTGATCCACTTAAAATGCAACCCTAACTACATTATCTGTAAGCACTGGTGACATCAATAACATGGCAAACTAGTTGTTCATCTGTTCTTGTTCGGTAGGAAGAACTTACAAAATAGCTTTATAGCAGATGCTGAAAATGTCTACCAACTTGCCACTGACAAATATCCACCCAAATGTGGTACCAGTCGGTGCATTGTTCCCTTACTCGATACTTGCTTGTCAGGATACGCACTGCTAGATGATTCACGAACAGCGACGAACGGATTCGATGCGAAGTTAATGTTCCAGAATGAACACAGACACTGCTTTTGAATACACAGTTTTTGCACCTGTAAAAATTTTGCGTAACTGACGCGAGCAACGGCCTAGCAACAATTTACCTTGACATCAGTGGACCAGGGGAGATTGGGAGAATATACTACACGGAGGTGGACATGTTCCTGACTTCATTTTTGAACCGTAGTATGTGATCGTTCGTGGGTTGCGTTTAAATGGTACACTCTCAATATTTATTCTATTTTCATTTATAATATTGGTACTGTTGTTATTAATGGCATATAGCAGGCGAAGGCCCGTTTAATTTAACGGATGAGTATGAAATCTTAATTCTGAATTTAATACTTTCGCATAACAAGAGATTACCTACTTGATTAAGTGTAGAGTCACCATAAGTTGAAATTCACAGAGCGTGGCGTTACTACAACGATGCAAGATGGTGAGAAGCTGAGTTTTGGACTTACCTGAAACAAGAGAAAAACAATTTTAGCTTTACGCAATGACCGGCCGTCCAACCCGTAGTCGGTCTTTACTGACCCCTGCTTTTCGGAATTATGACGTAACGTTTGTTAATCTGATCTCATTTGTTTACAAGCATTAATAAATGCATGTAATATTTGGAATAAAAAAAATCTGCTTTATTCGAAGGCTTCTCTACCGAAAAACGAATGCAATGTAGCATAATTTTAGTTCATAATTTTTTATCCTAAACACTATTTTTGTTTTGAGGTCAACACATGACGACGTTGCAATGAAGATCAAAAAGAGAAGCCAAATTTTAAGTAATTTACGGACTAGTAAATCATGTAAAATCTAAACAAAGAACGCTTCTGAGATTTTAGACAGAACTACTTCCGCTAGGCAATTTGCCCGTTACGTGGTCTTGTCAGTGCGTTTGATGGAAATTACCATTCCATGAAACGTCATATTTATACAAAGTGATTTAAAGGCTATACAAAAGTCTTTGTGCACATACAAGCCCTAGCGGCTATAGGTAGCAAGCACAAGAAGTGCTGGCACTTGCGCAAAGGACTGATTTTGGTCGTATGCGATGGACCCGTCCGAAGCACGAGCTAGAGGGGTGTCAGCTTACTTGGTTTGTAGCTCTAGCTGTGTCTAGATCGGTGCGACCCCCACTACTACTGAACTCCCCTCTCTCGGCTTACACATCGCGCATTTAAGTTCCACGACTACTCGCGCGAGCCATACAAGACTTGTGTGCGCGGACACGGACTTTTGAATCACCTTCCACTTCCAATTGTTCTAACAAGAGCATCGGGAGTTTTTAATTACTCTGTATAAACACTATCTTATTTCCGTAATATGGAGAGCATGTAGGTCCTATTCACGACAGGCATTCTGAGGCTGGAATAAAAATTTCCTCTACTAGGTCACTTCAACTTTCGATTGTCAAAACTAAGATTCAATTAATAGAAATTAAAACTTCTCAAACAGGGTTCAGCGTCTCTGCCTCCGCTGTCTGCATTATAAATCCTTCCCAAGGATCCCACTTCAAGAAGTAATGAAGACTCCAATGGGGTTAAAATATTATTTTACTGGAGAATAAAATAAGGCATTATTTTAGTAATTATACATGAATCTTTAATATATTTCTTAAGTACAAGTAGAACAAAATAAACAATAATTATTATCTTAATCGTCTGTTCCATAGGAAAGAAATTAATGAATGTGTTGTACGCTGTCACTAATATCTACGTATTCGCAAAAAAGTCTTCTAATATTCAGAAGACACCGAACATGTTTTACACTCTTGTTCCAGAAAGGAAAATATTCCTTGTATGTTTAATTAGTTTCAAGATTTCTAAAACTCAGTTCGCAAAACGTTTAGTTACTAAACCATACGTAAGGCGGAAATACGTTTCGACAAAAAAAATCGAAAGTTTGAAAACCTGACATGTGGTGATTAGGGCTGGTTTTGCGCACCAACTTTGCATCACCCAAGAAAAAATTAATTTGTTTAAGGACGTTTTCAGTATCTAGACTACACAGCGTCGGTGAGAGGAAGACAGTGAATAATGAATTGGAAAGGATGTGGAAGGAACCGGTCATTGCCTAATTTAAGATACTATCCCGGTATTTGCCTGGAGGGACGGAGCAGAACTACGAAATCCTCGGTAAGGGTAGCCGGTCTCTGGGCCTCCCGAATAAGAAGCAGGAGAGTTAACCGCTCATTATTCAAGAGGAAAAGAATCACGTAATTCAATATTGTTTACTTTTAAAAATACATTCAAGAAACGTTTCTATACAGGAAGTCTCTGCGCCGTGTAGTCTGGCAATAATAGCACAACAACCTAGAAGACAGTGTCATCTTCAAGCGATATTCAAATTCGTTAACCATTTCTTTCATAAACGTCAGTATATTCATTCACATCCGTTTTAAATACAGATGCATCGTCTTCAGAAAAGACCACAAAATAAATCAACAAAGAAACGAAGCAGATCACTGTGTGGCCTTGCAACAACGCATGCGAAACAAAAATTCTCCCTTCCACAGTTCAATAGTATTCTTAGAATTGTGTTCATAAAACAGGCTACACCTTGTTTCTAAAAATGGAAATAAGCAATGGAAGTAACGTGTTTGTACTGAACAACTATCGCTGTCGGGGATATATCCGTTCTTATTCACTGTTTCTACTTGTTCCGAACGCGCGCCGTGTCCAGTCTGACTAGTATTGCACCAAATGTCAAAGTTACTGAACGAAAACTTTAATTCTGTGCCTCTAACCGCATTTTATGGATGTACGCATGTCTGACGTATATTGAAAGATCAGCTTTAGTATTTTCGGTTTACACCGAAAGGAACTCAAAACATGGACGCATGTTGAAACGCACACTAGCTGCCAAAGATCCGCGAGTTACCAATTTCTCGTAGAAACAATCATTCGGCTTCTTTGAAAGAAATAGGCCAACAACCCGCTCAGCTGTGAATGCCAGAAAAGTTGACGAAAACACAACTCTGACGGTCTTTCAAATTGAAATACAGTAGATTCCGGTTAATTGGACCATCGGTTAATCGGGGCAGCCGCTTATTTGGGACAAATCTTAAAGAACAAACATTTTTAACTATGCAAAGTCCACAGGCTATCAAATTGCTGAAGATGAGGATAACCTGGAGATAAGCAGCGTGAAACACTGCAGATATCCGACGTATTTACACATCTCAATTTATTAAAATGTAGGATCAAAAATAACTCTCTGTTTACGTAACTCACGTAGTACATTAATTTCGGTAGTCTGTATCTATAATCATCGTTATAAGTCACATACCTATACGTAGCAGCGGTCCGTAACGTACTCTATCATGAACCACATATCCTCACGTTGAAAAGGGTAACTATTCCAGGGCAGAGAAATGTGGCCTCATCGGAAAACAAAACACGTCTCAGATAACGGCTTTCACTGCCCATACAGAACAGTGTTAATTCGCATTGGACCATCTTCTATTATGTCCGTATCACATTACGCCATCGAGTTGGTGGAATATATTTACTATATATTGCGACAAACTTCTCGAGTTTGTCGAAAAAAGCAAACGGTTAGAACGTGTGCGTACGTGGGCGCATAAACACACTGTTCCAGAAATGAATTCGTATAATTCAAGTTGATTAGTAGCTAAAATCATCCACAGTTTTGTGCGTCCCACAAGGAGCTGTAAACATCGTACTGCTATATCCGGTAATCAAAAGTTATGTGGCAGGAAGATGCTTGAGTACCTCATTTTACAGTTGTTCGTGTTACATTAAAATACAGTGTTTATGATACATGGTGATGCAACCCATTTCTAACGCCGGTTCTATTTGCCAAAAAATAAATTATATTAAAATAAGAAAACAACAAAAGTTATACTGAGTTTTGGAAATGTTAACCGCGTTCAATCATGCATGTAAAGGCATTTCATGGAAGGTATACGGATTAGGAACACACTATATTCTGGTGTTTTGTCTATTAACGTATCCACTTAGGTGGAATCACGTTTCGGTACAAAAGAAAGCTTTATCTAAAACGCCAACACCCTCAGCAGTGTGTAAACTATCTGCAGTAGTGAACTCGTTTTTCCTCATCGGGTTCCTGGAGTTCGTGCAGACGTACATGATAATACGTTAGACAATGAAAACTCGTTGCACTTCTGAAAAAGATAGCCTTTCATTTCCACTATACTGAAATATAACTGGCCGACTTGCGCGAGCAGTTCACAACAAGACGTGATCTGCGTATAAGAATAAGTATAGACGCAACGATAGTGTTTATTCATCCAATCGAACTGTACTGAATTGCAATCATCAACAAATATACTGTACGAATATCTTGTTTACGGGAAGCAAATTGTTGTTATTCAGCGTTAGATACGTAATTGGTGTATTAAAACATGCAAGGTGAATGTCGCTGGCTCCAGGTTCACACAAGCAGGCCAAAGATTTGGTGTACAATGTAATCAGTTACTTCAAGCGTGAAGTAGACGCAGACGTGCCAATCCACGACGCTGCCAAAATGCAAGGCGTTTGTATGTAAACATCTGTGCCGCCCTCCTTCGTGTTGGTCAGTATAACAATGTGGAAGAAAGAAGCAAAGGTGGGGCCTATTTTAAGACTCCTAGTACAGTAATCGCCAGATGTCTCGCGAGCTGCGCTCCCTGGGTCCCATGCTCCATTGGATTCGGCACGGTCAGGTAAAAGATTCGGAGCGGCCTGGTGCTGCGGTAGCCGTCTCAAAAACACTCACTTCTCTGGATGGACTGTTCCAATTACTTCTCGATTCTTACTATAAATATTTCTGTTGTATCATCCTTACCTCGCTTCGCCCTCCAACATTACATCTACTCTTGACCGGTGGAATTCTCAAGGGGAAGGCTAGGAGCGAGTCTCTTTTGCGATAGTATAATGCTGACTGCATCGACGAGCTTATCGGACTGAACGCCCAAACAAAAGAAATACACTGACCGTGCCACCTCAGGTACACAGAGTAGGCCCGTCCGCCAGCTTCTCCACCGGCCAGAAACTACTACGCCGACTATACCACAAGTAACTAGAAGGGGGGAAGGTAAAAGGAAGATTTTTTTTATGTACGTTGATGCGCGCGCATCACGTTCCCCTTTACGCCGCTCACCCTTCACTCATGACAACATGGAAATTTTCGAATACACTACGTATTCCAAAAGAATACTCACCGCCAGTTCCACATGTATCCTTGTTGTAACTAATTTAAAAAGCGTTTTAATGAAAGTCCTGAAACAGGAATTTACGTTTTAATCTATGAAGAGCAAAACCAATTTCACGCGAAGGAAATTACTGCGACACAGTATGAACGGAAATGCATGCACTTTCTAGAAGTTCATTTTAATTAAAGGTTATATCTGTCGCTGAACTGGAAAACGTTCCGTTGTCAGGTAATTATCTTCGGTACAAAATGTATCCGACATTCCCTAATCGATACTTCCCAGATATTC